CAAAAAATAAAAAAAATGATAGAGCTCCGTGTTATGGTGTTAGAGTGCCCCGGGTACAATTCAGTCTTTGCAGCCATGGTTGCCCTTTTTTTGTTGCCTGGGGAAAAGGGTTGGGTACAGAATGACTCAGTAGCAAAAGCACCAAAGGTCACTCTGAGTCCAGCTCCAGTCCTTTAGTCCTTGAAAAGTGTTCCTTGTCAATTCCAGAGAAACCAGAAACGACAATTTTAGAAAAACAAAAATGATGCTTTTTTTTTGTCTTTTTAACAAGAATAGCTACAAATAAAGGGTCTAAAAAAAATAGAATTATGCACTTTGAGCTTTGTGTTTAGGGAGCGTTCATCACTAGAGGTCAACTACAAAACCAGCTCTTCCAGACAGAGCAGCCATCTGGTTAACTCACCACCCCCACCACCCCCTGAAATCCAGGGTGGCGAGTCATCGCCTCCTGGGGGCCTTTTCCTGCCTCTCTTTTGAAGCGTTTCCTTATTTCTTTTTATGTCTTTGAGAAAGGAACAGAATCCTTTACCACCTACAGTGTCTTAGATACCCCTAAACAACACTCAATTTACCCTCCCAGCAAATTAATCATCTTTGTAAAATATTAAAAGCTCCTTATGTTCCTTGGTCACTATCCTTCAAACCTGTTCCTCTGTCAGGAAAGGCAGATGAGGTGCTGTGCAGGAAATTCAAGAGTTCAGTCCTGGTCATGTTTTAATATCTTGCAGTTCATTGGACTGCTGGATGGGAGTCCAGAGCTGGGGAACTTGAATTGGGCTGGAGATATTGATTTGTAACCTGCTGGTATAGTTAAAACCCAGAGGTATTTGACACCTAGAAGACAGATGTCATGATCTTAGAGAGAGACATGGTGTATCAAGACAAAGAGACCCAGATCTAGCATGTAGAAGTCAAGGCCAAGGAGATGAAGCCAGCAAGGGGGGAAACTTGTTTTATTACGTTGTTTGATCTAGTTTCTCAAAAATGTCATGACTTAAACTGGACACCATTTCCTGGGAGTCATCTGACCAGATTAGAACGGTAAAAATCAATGACTTTGATAGTTTCCAATACAATCCTCTATTAAGCAAGTCTAAAAGTAACCTTTGACTGTCACCATATGTGCTTAAATGCCAACCAGGAAGGGCGCAGCCTTTGAGGAGCTCTGCAATTTGGATAATTTGGGGGGGGGGGTGTCTTATTAAGTAAAAGAAAACAGCCAGGCATGGTGGCACATGCCTGAAGACCCAGCTCCTGGGGGGGCTGAGGCAGGAGGGTCCCTTGAGCCCAGGACTTTGGAGCCAGCCTGAGCCACTTAGTGCCACTCGAAAGAAAGAAAGAAAAAGAAAACACAATTATTAATCCACAATTAAGTGCAAAACTTTAGTAGGGAATCATGCCAGTGAGGGGCCTTGGCATTTAAGCTTCTTTAGCTTCATGATAAATCCATGACTGTCACTAAAATCCCTGAGTTTCCCCCCATGGATATTGTTGCTAAGCCACATCTCCCAATCCTGTCCTTTGCCCTGCTGTCTATTGAACCTTACATTTATCCCTTTAGAGTGCCACCCTGTTAGAGGTGACTTAGCCATCATCATCGAGAGCTTCCTTAAGTACTTTAATTCTGGACCCCACATCTTTGCCAGGCCTCTGGTTTTCATGCCCTCCACTGATCCCCTAAGCACRTCCCCACCATTCTTTCCCAAGTGAATCCGCAGCAGGACAGAAATTAGTCTCGAGGCAGCCGATCACAGACCCCCCGGTTGACACTAAGTAGCACTATTTATACGGCTGCTGTAAATCCACCTAATTCTGCCATCACAACGTTCAGAGATCCTGTTCAATGTTTTGCTAAAGCCCAGAGATACGCTGTCTGTGGTATTTCCTCATCAGCCAACCAAGTAACCTAATCAAAAAAGGAGATGTAGTTAGAAGGCCACGGTTTAGAAATAAAAGTCTTGTTTCATTAATATCATCTTTAGTAAAGCCGTTTATTTTCTTTATCGCCCTTCCTCTTCCAGCATGCCTGCATTTGATCAGGAAAAAATAATTAACAAAAAAGATTATGTTTGCTCCGAAGAAACATTTCTCCCAGTCCTGTCTACCACCCATCTTTATAAGGCCCAGGGGAGTAATTAGTGTTTGATAAGTACCCACAGGCTCATGTCTCTTCCCAGTGCCCACTCCAGGAAAATGGCAGGAGTGGAATTGACTGTATTCGGTGCAATGAAACCTGCTGAGTCTGGCTATATACCAGGGAATCGAGGATATTAATTGAGATACTAGTTAACATTTAATAAGATACAAAGACACAGAGGATGGATTCGGGGCATAGCCCAGGAGTACAGTGCATGTTTAGCATGAGCAAGCCTCTGAGTTCAATTCCCAGCACCAAACCAAAAACAGAGTGAGAGAAAGAGAGAGATGACGATGATGGTGATGATGGTGATGTATTTCTGCTACCTGGAAACAGTCATATCATGGAGATGTTTTCCCAATTTGTTTAGAAGCAGCCTCCATTTCCAAATCTAACAGCCAGTCAGAGCCGGAATGCCATTGAAGGGTTCTCCTTAGTGGTCTCCTCTGTTTGATGAATGAGCATCCATGGAGTGTGGCCAGGGGCTGGGCACTCTCTAGCCATCTCTGGAGGTGTGCTCTCTAGGGTACTTGTAGGCCGCCCATAGGTCTAGAATCGGGCAAGAAAACAGGGGCTTCATTTCTGTGGAACAGTTCAAGGATGTAGTGTTCCTCCTCTTCTTCCTTGTCCCATTCCGTCCCTCCTGGCCTCACCGTCTCCAGCCCTTGTCTCTGCATTCTTGCCTCATCATTCTCTCATGCTTTTTTTCTAGAGGGACCAAAAACTTGTTGGAAAGAAAGAAACCTGCCCAGCAGAGCAGACTTTCTTTCTGCTCGGCCTGGTCCCTCCTAGGTTTTCTTCACCCACCCCTCTTGGCTGTCTTTGTGCCCTCTTGACCTCCTCAGACTCCTTTGCAACCTCATTTTGTTTTGGGGTCCTTTCCTGCACTGCATTCAACTCTCTGGGTAGAGGCAAAAAGGTGGAAAGTGGGAGATATTCCTCAAGTCTTTTTGCCTCCTCCTTAAAGTTGGAGGAGGTCCACATTTCACATAAAAAGAGCTAGTGATTGATCAGCCCCTACATGCATGACCCCAGCTGCTGTGCTTTGTAGCTTGGGTAGAATTTCAAAAATTCATGATTAAAGATTTAGCAATTTGAGTTATCCTGAATTTGCTTCCTAAAGTGTATTACAAAACTTACATGCATAGCTTGCGCGTACTCTTTGTGGATATTAGGTCTAAGAGAATCTACATGGGGCTATAGTGATGATGACGAGGGTCTATGCTGATTATTGGACAAGAAACCATAACTGGTACTTATGTGTGCTTTGGCCAGCAAATAATTTGAGCAGAKATTTTTGCCCAAGGACAGTTGCCATGTGCTTTTTCTGTTTTCTTAGCTTCCAAACTAGGTGTCGATTCTTATTCCTTTTGTACAGGATTGTGAAGTTAGGTTAGAGGAAAATAGAAAAGTTTCGTCATTTTGCTATTTTGTGATGCTTCATCTAAAATGTTATGCCTAAGACCAATAGGCTAACAAGACAAAAATGATCATTTTCTGCAATCTAATATAGGAAAGCTCAGTCTAAATAACCCTTAAACACACACACCACACACATTCTGGTAGTCAGAATGTTAATATGCAGGAGGTTATGAGCCAGAGGAAACCAAACCTAGGAGGTAAGGGTTCAGATCCACTGGCCCAGGGATGCCTGCGTGAAATAAAACCTTTGCTTTGCCTCTTTATCATTTGCTATCCAGGCCACAGAGCACTTGTCAGTTGAAACTCTGAGCTGATTTATGAGGTTTGCTGAAATGGAAAGAGCTCTGGAATTTATGGCGTGATTCCCCCTTGTTATTTGCTAAGCTAAGACCATGAAACATATGGCCTTAATATGGAGTGAGAAGGAAAATAGGGCTTTCATTAAACCACAGTCACCATTTTGATCCTGATTTGCTTGTCCGCATTCCTGTCCTTGGGAAGTACTAAACAGTGTGTTGAAAAGCCTTTGAGTCCAATGTGATCTTAGCCACTCAGCACCCAGTTTGCCCTGAAAAATAAAAAAATAAAATGGGAGCAGGGACTTACCTTGGGTTTAAACTTAAGCAAGTGAGGAATGAAGTTGGCCACAGGCTTGCATAATTACCCAACCACTTGAATCATTATGGCTTCAATGAAAGCATTTGCATTTACAGAGGATCTGCTGGGTATACCACTCATGTTTTAAGTAGAGTGCACTGATGCCAGAAACCAGGAATTTTTTTTCGTAGTAATGGGCAATCTGCAACTTCTTGGGTCCCAGGGGGGAAAAAAAACCCCACCAAACTTTTTTCTTTTATGCCTACCAAATTCTGAGATGAGACAGGAAGAAGTGCATTATTATTTGAATTCCTTTTAATGTGTCCATCAGGCCTTTTTCTTTGTGCCAAGCCCAGTGGATTAAAAGAAAAGGTTTTATGTCAGTGGTGAGATGACTCACATAGTCCCCTCCACACACATCCGTGATATTTAATATTTTTTAAAGGGCATCTTTGCATGGCAAATACCCAGGGGGAATATTCAAAGTATTTTGTAACTGCGGGAGCGGAAGCACTGATCACCCAGATGGTCAGTGGTTTTGGAATTGGAGCAGAGTTCTGAAGTTCTCCTACTGGGCAAAGACATATGGGAGAAGGATTACTGGGCAGGTGTCAGGTGGAGGGGTGCTGGTGGTGGCAAAAGGGAGGAATGGGGGGCTCTAAACAGAGACTGTTCAGCTCCCAGTATATAAATACGTCTGCATTTAAATAGCATGGCTACCTGAGTCCAGGTCCCAGTTGCAGTCAGTGATCCCATAATATCTGGTAATTGATGGAAGTGACAGATCGGTAATGACAGCCACTTAAACCTTTTCTTTCCTTTTTCCCTCCTTTTGTAAACCCAGATTGGGGAGTTACTGAGTACCACCCATCCTGCCAACAAAGCCAGCTTGACCCTGTTCTGTCCCGAAGAGGGGGACTGGAAGAACTCCAATCTTGACAGACACAATCTCCAAGACTTCATCAATATCAAACTCAACTCAGCTTCTATATTGCCAGAAATGGAAGGACTTTCTGAGTTTACCGAGTACCTCTCAGAATCAGTGGAAGTCCCGTCTCCCTTTGACATCCTGGAACCCCCCACATCGGGTGGATTTCTGAAGCTCTCCAAGCCCTGCTGTTACATTTTCCCAGGAGGGCGGGGTGATTCTGCCCTGTTTGCCGTGAACGGATTCAATATGCTCATCAATGGAGGATCCGAAAGGAAATCCTGCTTCTGGAAGCTCATCCGACACTTGGACCGAGTGGACTCCATCCTGCTCACCCACATTGGGGATGACAATTTGCCCGGAATCAACAGCATGCTGCAGCGGAAGATCGCAGAGCTGGAGGAAGAGCAGTCCCAGGGTTCCACCACCAACAGTGACTGGATGAAAAACCTCATCTCCCCTGACTTAGGGGTGGTATTTCTCAACGTACCTGAAAACCTGAAAAACCCAGAGCCGAATATCAAGATGAAGAGAAGCATAGAAGAAGCTTGCTTCACGCTCCAGTACCTAAACAAATTGTCCATGAAACCAGAGCCTCTCTTCCGAAGTGTCGGCAACACCATTGATCCTGTCATTCTTTTCCAAAAAATGGGAGTGGGGAAGCTTGAGATGTACGTGCTTAACCCCGTCAAGAGCAGCAAGGAAATGCAGTATTTTATGCAGCAATGGACTGGCACCAACAAAGACAAGGCTGAACTGATCCTGCCCAATGGTCAAGAAGTAGACATCCCAATTTCCTACCTGACGTCCGTCTCCTCTTTGATCGTGTGGCATCCAGCAAACCCTGCTGAGAAAATCATTCGAGTTCTGTTTCCTGGAAACAGCACCCAGTACAATATCCTGGAAGGGCTAGAAAAGCTCAAACATTTAGACTTCCTGAAGCAGCCTCTGGCCACCCAGAAGGATCTCACGGGCCAGGTGCCCACCCCGACCGTGAAACAAGTAAAACTGAAGCAGAGGGCCGACAGCCGAGAGAGTCTCAAGCCAGCYGCCAAACCGCTGGCCAGCAAATCGGTGCGCAAGGAGTCAAAAGAAGAAACCCCCGAGGTCACAAAAGCGAATCAGGTGGAAAAGCCACCCAAAGTCGAAAGCAAAGAAAAGGTGATCGTGAAAAAAGACAAGCCGGTCAAAACAGAGACCAAACCTCCCGTGACGGAAAAGGAGGCACCCAGCAAAGAGGAGCAGCCTCCCGCCAAGACCGACGTGGCCGAGAAGCAAGCCACGGACGTCAAACCCAAGACGGCCAAAGAGAAGATCGTGAAAAAAGAGACCAAGACCAAACCCGAGGAGAAGAAGGAGGAGAAGGAGAAGCCCAAGAAGGAAGTGGCTAAAAAGGAGGACAAAACACCTGTCAAGAAGGAGGAGAAACCCAAAAAGGAAGAGGTGAAGAAGGAAGTCAAGAAAGAAGTCAAGAAGGAAGAGAAAAAAGAACCCAAGAAAGAGGTTAAGAAGGAAACGCCGCTGAAGGATGCCAAGAAGGAAGGGAAGAAGGACGAAAAGAAGGACCTGAAAAAGGAGGAGAAGGAGCCCAAAAAAGAAATCAAGAAACTCTCTAAGGACTCCAAGAAACCATCGACGCCCCTCTCTGAAGCAAAAAAACCAGCGGCTTTAAAACCAAAAGTACCCAAGAAGGAAGAGCCGGTCAAGAAGGAGTCTGTAGCTGCTGGGAAGCCAAAGGAGAAGGGCAAGATTAAAGTCGTCAAGAAGGAGGGCAAGGCTGCCGAGGCTGCAGCTGCAGCTGTCGGCGCCGTGGCCACCTCGGCGGGTGCCGTGGCAGCGGCTGGGCTAGCAGCCACCGGTCCTGCCAAAGAACTGGAGGCCGAGAGGTCTCTTATGTCATCCCCTGAGGATCTCACCAAGGACTTTGAAGAGCTAAAGGCGGAAGAGATTGATGTAGCCAAGGACCTCAAGCCCCAGCTGGAACTCATCGAAGACGAAGAGAAACTGAAGGGAACCGAGCCCGTGGACGCCTACGTCCTCCAGAAAGAGACAGAAGTCAGCAAAGGTTCTGCYGAGTCTCCCGACGAGGGGATCACCACCACGGAAGGGGAGGGCGAATGCGAGCAAACGCCGGAAGAGCTGGAGCCGGTCGAGAAACCCGGGGTGGACGACATTGAAAAATTTGAAGATGAAGGAGCTGGTTTCGAGGAGTCCTCGGAGACCGGGGATTATGAGGAGAAGGCCGAAACCGAGGAGGCCGAGGAGCCCGAAGAAGACGGTGAGGAAAACGTGTGCACCTCCAAGCACAGCCCCACGGAGGATGAGGAGAGTGCCAAGGCCGAGGCAGATGTGCACATCAAGGAGAAGAGGGAGTCTGTGGCCAGTGGGGACGACCGGGCCGAAGAAGACATGGACGAGGCCGTTGAGAAAGGAGAAGCTGAACAATCTGAGGAGGAGGAGGAGGCCGAAGAGGAGGACAAAGCAGAGGATGCCAGAGATGAATATGAGCCGGAAAAAATGGAAGCTGAAGATTATGTGATGGCCGTGGTTGACAAGGCTGCGGAGGCTGGGGGTGCCGAGGATCAGTATGGATTCCTCACCCCATCAGCCAAGCCACCSGGAGTCCAGTCTCCTGGCCGAGAACCTGCGTCTTCGATTCACGATGAGACCCTACCCGGAGGCTCAGAGAGTGAGGCCACTGCTTCTGATGAGGAGAATCGAGAAGACCAGCCCGAGGAATTCACTGCCACCTCTGGCTACACTCAGTCCACCATCGAGATATCCAGCGAGCCCACCCCCATGGACGAGATGTCTACTCCTCGCGACGTGATGAGTGACGAGACCAACAACGAGGAGACAGAGTCCCCGTCTCAGGAATTCATAAACATCACCAAATACGAGTCTTCACTGTATTCTCAGGAGTACTCCAAAGCGACTGTCACCCCCTTCAACGGATTATCCGATGGGTCAAAAACCGATGCCACCGAGGGCAAGGATTATAATGCTTCAGCCTCCACCATATCCCCACCCTCCTCCATGGAGGAAGACAAATTCAGCAAATCTGCTCTACGCGATGCTTACTGTTCAGAGGAGAAAGAGGTGAAAGCCAGTGCCACGTTGGAGATCAAGGATACCGTCTCCCCGGTTTCGGATGAGAAGCTTAGCCCAGCCAAGAGTCCATCCTCGAGTCCGTCTCTGCCGTCACCCGTAGAGAAGACCCCCCTGGGTGAACGTAGTGTGAACTTCTCTCTGACGCCCAATGAGATCAAAGTCTCCACAGAGGCCGAAGTGGTGYCTGCGTCTCCTGAGGTGACCCAGGAAGTAGTCGAAGAACATTGTGCTAGTCCTGAGGAGAAGACTCTAGAAGTGGTGTCTCCGTCGCAGTCTGTGACTGGCAGTGCCGGCCACACACCTTACTACCAATCTCCCACCGAGGAGAAGGCTGGTCACCTCCCTACAGAGGTCACTGAAAAGCCAGCCACAGTGCCCGTGAGCTTTGAATTCAGTGATGCCAAAGATGAGAGTGAAAGGGCTTCCATAAGCCCCATGGATGAACCCGTGCCTGACTCAGAGTCGCCTATGGAAAAAGTCCTGTCTCCTTTACGCAGCCCTCCCCTGATTGGATCCGAGTCTGCATATGAAAGTTTTCTCAGTGCTGATGACAAGGCTCCTGGCAGACGTGCCCAGAGCCCCTTTGAAGGAAAGAATGGAAAACAAGACTTTGCAGACCAAGTCAGTCCCGTTTCTGAAATGACGTCCCCTGGTCTTTACCAAGACAAACAGGAGGTCAGAAGTACAGACTTTACACCAATCAAGGAAGACTTTGGTCCAGAAAAGAAAACCGGTGATGTTGAAGCCACGAGTTCTCAACCAGCACTGGCTTTGGATGAAAGGAAATTGGGAGGAGAGGTCTCTCCAACCCAAATCGATGTCAGTCAGTTTGGATCTTTCAAAGAAGATACCAAGATGTCCATTTCTGAAGGCACCGTCTCAGACAAGTCAGCCACTCCTGTTGATGAGGGTGTAGCAGAAGACACCTACTCTCACATGGAGGGTGTGGCCTCAGTCTCCACCGCCTCCGTGGCTACGAGCTCATTCCCGGAACCCACCACAGATGACGTGTCTCCTTCTCTGCATGCGGAAGTGGGCTCCCCACATTCCACAGAAGTCGATGACTCCCTTTCAGTGTCTGTTGTGCAAACGCCTACCACTTTCCAGGAGACAGAGATGTCTCCGTCTAAAGAAGAATGCCCAAGACCGATGTCAATTTCTCCTCCTGATTTTTCCCCCAAGACAGCCAAATCCAGGACACCAGTTCAAGATCACAGATCGGAACAGTCCTCGATGTCTATTGAGTTTGGCCAAGAATCTCCTGAGCACTCCCTTGCTATGGACTTCAGTCGACAGTCTCCAGATCACCCTGCGGTGGGTGCAAGTATGCTTCACATCACTGAAAATGGGCCAACTGAAGTGGACTATAGTCCTTCTGACATGCAAGACTCCAGTTTATCACATAAGATACCACCAACGGAGGAGCAGTCCTATACCCAAGATAATGATCTCTCCGAGCTCATCTCCGTGTCTCAGGTGGAGGCCTCGCCGTCCACCTCTTCTGCTCATACCCCGTCTCAGATAGCTTCTCCCCTGCAAGAAGAAACTCTATCCGATGTTGCTCCTCCCAGAGAGATGTCCTTATATGCCTCACTCACCTCTGAGAAGGAGCAAAGTCTGGAAGGAGAGAAGCTCTCTCCAAAATCTGATATCTCTCCACTCACCCCACGAGAGTCCTCTCCTTTATATTCACCTGGTTTTTCAGATTCTACCTCTGCCGGCAAAGAGAGCACCACAGCTTGCCATACCTCCTCATCTCCACCTTTAGACGCAGCATCTGCAGAGCCCTTTGGCTACCGTGCCTCCATGTTGTTCGATACGATGCAACATCATCTTGCCTTGAATAGAGATCTGGCCGCATCTGGCATGGAGAATGACAACGGAGGAAAGACACCTGGTGACTTTAGCTATGTCTATCAAAAGTCTGAGAAAACCACCAGGTCCCCGGATGAAGAAGATTATGACTATGAGCCTTCTGAGAAAACCACCAGAACCCCCGACGTGGGCAGCTATTACTATGAGAAGACGGAGAGAACCATAAAATCTGCCTACGACAGCGGCTACTCCTACGAGACCATTGAGAAGACCATCAAGACCCCCGAAGATGGTGGCTATGCCTGTGAAATCACCGAGAAGACCACCCGGACCCCCGAAGAGGGTGGCTACACTTACGAGATAAGTGAGAAGACCACGCGGACCCCTGAAGTGAGCGGTTACAGCTATGAAAAGACCGAGAGGGCTAGAAGGCTCCTGGATGACATCAGCAATGGCTACGACGACTCGGAGGAGGGTGGCCACGCGCTTGGGGATGCCAGCTACTCTTATGAGACCACTGAGAAAATTTCCAGCTTCCCTGAATCCGAAAGTTACTCCTACGAGACGTCTACAAAAACAGCTAAAAGCCCTGACAGTTCTACATACTGCTATGAGACGATGGAGAGAATCACTAAAACCCCCCAGGCRTCGACGTATTCCTACGAGACCTCTGATCGCTGCTACACGGCGGAGCAGAAGTCCCCCTCGGAGGCCCGCCAGGATGTGGATTTATGCCTCGTGTCCTCCTGTGAGTACAAGCATCCCAAGACAGAGCTTTCGCCCTCCTTCATCAATCCCAACCCTCTGGAGTGGTTTGCCAGTGAAGAGCCCACTGRAGAATCTGAGAAGCCCCTCACTCAGTCAGGGGGAGCCCCACCACCCCCAGGAGGAAAGCAGCAGGGACGACAGTGTGACGAGACCCCACCTACCTCAGTCAGCGAGTCGGCTCCATCCCAGACCGACTCTGATGTCCCTCCCGAGACGGAAGAGTGCCCTTCCATCACAGCCGATGCAAACATCGACTCCGAAGACGAGTCGGAAACCATCCCCACAGACAAAACTGTCACCTACAAGCACATGGACCCCCCGCCTGCCCCCATGCAGGACCGCAGCCCTTCTCCACGCCACCCTGACGTGTCCATGGTCGACCCAGAGGCCTTGGCCATCGAGCAGAACCTGGGCAAAGCTCTGAAGAAGGACCTGAAAGAGAAGACCAAGACCAAGAAGCCAGGGACAAAGACCAAGTCCTCGTCACCTGTCAAAAAGGGGGACGGGAAGTCCAAGCCCTCAGCAGCTTCACCGAAACCAGGGGCCTTGAAAGATGCCTCAGATAAGGTGTCCAGAGTGGCTTCTCCTAAGAAGAAAGAATCGGTGGAAAAAGCCACGAAAACCACCGCCACTCCTGAAGTCAAAGCCGTGCGAGGGGAAGAGAAGGACAAGGAGACCAAGAATGCCGCCAACGCTTCCGCATCCAAATCAGCAAAGACTGCCACCGCAGGTAGGCCCAGGGCACCRGGCATCCTGGTGTAGGTCATGCAGTTCTTTCCCTGTTTGGCTTTGTGCTGGGAGGACAGGGGAGCACACATGGATGCTTCACTTCCCCTCATGACTCTCTCCTGCTGAAGGTCTGTGTCGCTCAGCATATGGCCCAGAGCAGCTCTGATGGGACAGTGGGATTCCAGGCTTTGCTCCATTCTGGAGTATAGCAACTGCATTCCTGATCGAAACCGTCAGAGCCAGGGGTATGAGTTTCGAGCTGCTCTGAAGACTGGCTTCAGATATGCCGGCCGAGGTTACAAGGGCTAGAAGCTCCAAAAGGCCTAGAGAGAACTAGAAATTCCATCCCAACCCCCAATGACCTGTCAAGGTCCAGGATTTTTGAGTCCTATTTTTTTTAAAAAAATAAGATTTTTAAAAATAAAATCATGAAAATTTAGAATTATCATTTTTTTTTTTATTTAAGGAAAAAAAAATGACCAGTTTGGAGATACCTTCCCATTGAAGGAAATGTTCTGTTTTCTTATCAGCTAACACACACTGTAATTCCAATTGATACTCCTGACTTCTGATCATTCCTGATTTCCCTCTGATTCCCAGATTTATCAGTTTCATAGCAGTGATGTGGGATTTTGATGACACTGGACTTTGGTAGCACAGTTTTATCTTGTTGCTTCTTAGTATTCACGGGGATTTGTACTAATGCTCATTTTTTCTTTCTTTCTTTATGTAATTTTCCAGGGATTTTAGATCACCATTCACAAAGGCATATAAATTGACCCAAAACTATGAAATAAAAAATAATTTGAATAGCATTTCCTTGGTTTATTAGACAATATCAGAGAGATGACCCTTTGGGGCTCTCAAATTCCATGCATTTTATGGTATCTTGGTTACAGCTGCAGATTTTACTTTATGTGAAGCATCAATTTTAAGACTCAGTTCTCACAAGATTGGGTCTTTTTATGTACACAGAGAAAATAAATGGAATTTGTTCATGCTTAGTATAAATATAAAGCCACCAGATAATTAACCCTTTGGTCTGAAAGAGCTGATGACCTGCACTAAGGAAAAAGCATGGAATCCCTTCAAATTAATAATATTAATAAAAAACAGATGAAATTTTGCAGAACATATACACCCTAGCCCACGGAATTGATATTAAAAAAAAACTTTCTTGAACATTTAAGGAGACCATTTAACGACAAAGTAATAAAGAGGATTTATTTTTATTTACTTTGAAGATGCTTTTAGATTTCTAAAAARGCAAAGTTGCCCATTTAACTGATTTTAAAAACAAATTTGGGTGGACTTCTGGTGATTTCCAGTTTGTGCTTCTATGGACATTATTAATTTGATTTTGATGGTAGCAGTTTAATATTCAAGGTAAAATTGCAAACATATTTAATTATTAGAACATAAATTCAAACTTCTGTTAGAGTCAGGATTCTTTAGAAGGTCCCCAAATGGTTGTTTTCAGCTCAGATTGACTAAAATGGCCTGTGAATGTATTTATAAAATGAGCTTATTTACCTCAAACATTAATTTGGCCAATTCTTGCTACTCCTTTGCTCCACTAAAAGTAAAATTGGGCAATTGATGGAATTCACTGGAACTTTTTAAACTCTGAGATGAGAGTTTTTATACATCCCACGGAGAAAGGAAAGCAGGTTAAATGTATAGAATCTCACCGGCATTTCAGGTGGTTTAGGCAGTGGTCTTAAACTGCATATTAGAGTCCCCTGGGGTGCTTTTAAAAGATCATGGTGCCCAGACCCCAGCCCTAGCCCACTTAAGCAGACTCTGGAGGAGAAGGCCTTGGCATCAGTAAACAACCAAGGTGACTCTAATCATGCAGGGAGAGTGACGGACGGACCACTGCCCGAATGTTAGCTTTACTCGTTCAAAAGCATTAAACCTTCAAACCAGAAGAAGTTAGCAAGGCAGCTGACGAAACAGGGTGCCAGGAAATTTGGGGGTTAATCTGAACTGCTTCTTTGCCCAGGCTGTTCTGGGTTAGGCTGGAAATTTGGGCTCCAAGGTGCCCCTTTCTGCAGTCTGATATGTCCTGATTGATTAGCAAAAGCCTAGTCTTTGTGGACCTTCCTTTGCCAAATGTTGGTGTCCAGCCTGCATAGGGAGAGATGTCTCACAGCACTGTGGGAAGGCGAGAATACAGTGTTTCCTTGGGTTATGAATGGTGAGGAGGGCCCTGGAGAGCATATAGGGTGAAGATCTGAACTACTTACTGGGACAAAGGTTAGGGCATACTCTTCAGCTATGGGCACAACTGCTATCAATTGATACCCTAAAGTGAACTGCTAAGATCTCTTAACTTCGGCTGGGTGCGATGACATAATTCTATAATYCCAACATCTCAGGTGGGTTGTAGGTGCGAGGGCAACTTCAGCAGCTTAGTTTCAAAATAAGAAGGACTGGGGATATAGCTCAGTGGTAGAATGCCCCTGGGTTCAGTACTCAGCACCACCAAAATCAATCAATCAATCAATCATCGAGTAACTATGGTTTGCCAGATGCAGATGCTTCTTTTTGATTTTTAAGGTGTTTACTAGATCACTTTTCAGATTTAGATGATGTTAGTAGCTCCTTTAGGAAGGTGTAGCTATCTAGTTCTGTCTTTGCAAGGGCCTTGAAACTTGAAACTTCTTACTTCATAATGGGTTGTGCACAGAGGGCAAACATCCCACTCTTCATTTCTCCTACTGAAGTGATAAACAACCATGGAATTCTCGTATCGCTAGTGTTAGATGTCCTGTACACATTATTGGGGAAGATGGAGATGCTGTCACTTCTGTGCCTATCTCAGAGAGCCTGCTTGGGGATGAGTGGGGGAGGTACATTGGACAGACAGCTCTCTTCATGTTACTGAGACCCTTGCTTTGTTTTTGTTTGTTTTCCAAAGGACCAGGAGCCACCAAGACGACCAAGTCCTCAGCTGTGCCTCCAGGCCTCCCTGTGTATTTGGACCTGTGCTATATTCCCAACCACAGCAACAGTAAGAATGTTGATGTTGAATTTTTCAAGAGAGTGAGGTCGTCCTACTATGTGGTGAGTGGGAATGACCCTGCTGCTGAGGAACCCAGCCGGGCTGTCCTGGATGCCTTGTTGGAAGGGAAGGCTCAGTGGGGCAGCAACATGCAGGTAAGGGCCCGAGGACCTTGTCTGCACTGTGGTTGAACTGGGGCCAGAGGCAGAGGGAGGGAGCCATGTTTAGCAAGGCACCTTTGTCATTGCGGATCTGTACAAGGTGCCTCTCAAAACTGTCACACATGAAATCTCAGGACAAAGTCAATTTAACCCACAGAAAATGGTCTAAAATAGTATTTTTTTTAATTCGTTCTTTTTCGTTATACGTGACAGCAGAATCCATTTTGATCTAATTATATTAGCATTGGACCTATCTTATTTTAGTTAGAATTCCATTCTAATGGATGTACATGATGGTGAGATTCACTGTGTTGTTTTCATATATGTACATGGAAAATTATGTCAGATTCATTCCACTGTTTGTTCCTTGCCTATCCCTGCTCCCTTCCCTTCATTCTCCATTGTCTAATCCACTGCACTTCTACTCTTGCCTTCACTGCTCCTTTCACATTTCAGAGAAAATATTCAACCTTTGGTTGTTTGGACTGATTTACTTCACTTAGCACAGTAGTTTTCAAGTCTATCCCTTTGCTGGCACATGTCATAATTTCATTCTTCTTAATGCTGAGTAATACTCCATTGTGCATATATACCACAGCTTCTTTATCCATTCATCTATTGAAGGACACCTAGGTTGGTTCCATAATTTAGCCATTGTGAATTGAGCTGCCATAAACATCGATGTGGCTGCATCACTGTATATGCTGATTTTAAGTCCTTTGGGTTTATACTGAGGAGTGGGATAACTGGGTCAAATGGTGGTTCCATTCCAAGTTTTCTGAGGAATCTCCATACTGATTTCCAGAGTGGTTGTACCAATTTGCAGTCCCACCAGCAACAAATGAGTGAACCTTTTCCCCCACATCCTCACCAACATTGTTACTTGTATTCCTGGTCATTGCCTTTCTGGATGGAATCTCAGTGTAATTTTAATTGCTTTTCTCTAATTGCTAGGTACGTTGAACATTTTTTCATATATTTGTTGACCCTTAATATTCTGTGAAGTGTCTGTTCAGTTTCTTTGCCCARTTATTGATTGGGTTATTATTATTGTAATTATTTTTATTTTGGTGTTAAGTTTTTTGAGTTCCTTATATATCCTGGAAATTAATGCTTTATCTGAGGTGGCAAAGATTTTCTCCATTCTGTAGGCTTTCTCTTCACACTCTTGATTGTTTTCTTTAATGTGGAGAAGCTTTTTGGTTTGATGCCATCCCATTTATTGATTATTAATTTTACTTCTTGCTCTTTAGGAGTCTTATTAAGGAAGTCAGTTCCTGAGCCAGTATGTTGGAAGGTTAGGGCTACATTTTCTTCTAGTATGTGCAGATTTAGTCTAATACTTAAGTTCTTAATCCACTTTGAGCTGAGTTTTGTGCAGGGAGAGAGAAAGGTGTTAAATTTAATTCTGCTGCATATGGATTTTCAGTTTTCCTAGCACCACTTGTTGAAGAGTCTGTCTTTTGTCCAATGCATGTTATTGGCACCTTTGTCTAGTGTGAGGTAACTATATTTTTGTGGGTTTGTCTCTATCTTCTATTCTATACTATTGGTCTTTTTGCTTGTTTTAGTGCCAAAACCATGCTGTTTTTGTTACTATAGTTACTATAGCTCTATAGAATAATTTTAATCTGGTATTGTGATRCATCCTGTTTCACTTTTCTTGCTAAGGATTGCTTTGGCTATTCTGGGTCTCTTATTTTTCCAAATGAATTTCATGACTGCTTTCTCTATTTCTATGAAGAATGTCATTGGGATTTTAATAGGAATTGCATTCTATCTGTGTAGTGCTTTTGGTAGTATGGCCATTTTGACAATATTAATTCTGCCTATCCAAGAGCATGGGAGATCTTTCCATCTTCTAAGGTCTTCAGTTTTTTTCTTTAGTGTCCTATAGTTTTCACTTTAGAGGTCTTTCGCCTCTTTTGTTAGATTGATTTCCAAGTTTTTTTKTTTGTTTGTTTATTTTTTGAGGATATTGTGAATGGGATGGTTTTCCTAATTTCTTTTTTAGCTGATTCATCATTAGCGTACAGAAATGTAATTGATTTGAGTGTTAATTTTGTGTCCTGCTACTTTGCTGAATTCATTTATGAATTCTAGAAGTTTTTGGTAGAGTTTTTTGGGTCTTCTCAATATGAAATTATGTCATTGGCACACAGAGGTATTTTGAAYTCTTCTTTTCCCACTTGTATACCTTTTATTTTATTCTTTTGCCTAATTGCTGTGGCTAGAGATTCAAGGACTGTGTTGAATAGAAGTGGTGAAAGTGGGCATCCCTGTGTTGTTTCTGTCTAAAGTAGTATTCTTGATGCCACCAATAACCATCACTTTGGAGGAAAGCCACCTTACCTAAGGCATAATCTATTCATCTACAAAATGGACTGAAGGTTAATTGCCCTCCCCCAATATATGAGTATTGTGCATGCGAATCAAAGCGGTCATATTTCTATGGGAGAGCTGCTGAAGAAGTGCATTCACTCCTTTGTTTTTTATGGATGGACCGAAGGTAAGAACTTTAGAAAATCAACTGTCCAGGTGAAATTCCATAGTAGGAGCATTGACTCCTAAAGAATATGCCTAACTCCCAAACCAAGTGTCTAGCTATGAACCACCCTGTCAGTAYGGTTGGGATCTTTGTTCATCCAAATTTTACTTGTGGTTCTGCACAAAATCACTTAGTAAACTGTGTTTGCATACTATTAAATAGAATTGCTTATTTAATCATATGACATCTAATGTAGCCAGGCGCATTAGATTTCACACCCCTATAATCCCAGCAACTCAGGAGGCCTGCGGCAGGAGGATGCCAAACTTGAGGCCAGTCTTAGCAACTTGGTCAGACCATGTTTCAGGGGAGAAAAAAAAAAAAATGACTGAGGATATAGCTAGCTCATAGCTCATTGGTGGAGTGTGCTTGGGCTCAATCCCCAGTACCACAAAAAAGGTAAAAGAATGCGAAACAGCCAGTTGCCTCCTAAGGAATATAACATTTTTAAGTCATTAACCACCTATCCCACTCACCTACCCCCCAGCCACACATGCAAAGAGACATATATCTTCGTTTCCAGAAAAATGTTAATTACACCCAGTGGGTGGGTTTTCTGAGGATGTTGAGCTACAATAATAACTAAAACTCTTTTGACTAAATATGCATTATCTTTTATGCAAAACTTACTGGCTGAAAGAAAATGTAAGAAATAGCCTGAACCAAGGTACTTAATGAACATTAAAGGATTGAAAAAAACAACAGTGAATTTAGRTGAACTAATTACAAGTCTCTAGTTGTCTTTGGTTCCAGTCTTCCACTCTTTTTGTGTGTGTGTTTATTCTGGTTCCTTACAAATGTAAGTTGAAAMAAAGACTTGCATTCCTTGAGGAAAATAGAACATTTTTCTTTCATTCCCATCTTCTAGTGGTCTAATACCTTGGGTTTGTACTATTTTTGCATCTGGTTTCTGTCCCTGCCCTCAACCAGCTATTTTCTCCCTGCAGGTAACTCTGATCCCAACTCATGACTCAGAAGTGATGAGGGAATGGTACCAGGAGACCCATGAGAAACAGCAAGACCTCAACATCATGGTTTTAGCCAGCAGCAGCACAGTGGTTATGCAAGATGAATCTTTCCCTGCATGCAAGATAGAACTGTAAAAACCAAGGCCAGCCACACCACAGGATTTGAACTTTGTTTCCAGAAATTCTTCAATTTGAAACTACCTTTTCTAAAACGCCAATTCATCTAATTAAGTCGCCGAACAGTTACCTGCCAAATGCTATCCTGTGTCATGGTGACGCAAGTCACTAATATTTCTCAGTTTTTGCTGATTGCTAAGGGAAGTAACAGTATTCCCACAATAGGGTTCAAGTTACTACAAAATTACCTACCCCAGTTCATCTCTGCTGAACATTTGGAAACCATGCACTAGCAAACCCAACTAACTTCTGCTAGGTAGAGGCATTTGTCTTAGAGAGAGAGAGAGAGAGAGAGAGAAGGAGGGAGGGAGAGAGGGAGTGAGGGAGTGAGCGCACAAAGAGAATGCAGGAGAGAGAGAGAGAGAGAGAAAGAATGAGAAAGAAAAAGAATGCAAGAAAAGGAGATGGAGTGGAGAGGTTCTGGTGAGATACCCAGAGAGGAAAAGAGAGAGCAGGGTGGGGTAAAGAGAAGAAAACCAACAATGAGGTCTGCATTTCCTCAGGCAGTAGGTATTCTGTAGTCTACACAGGCCAAGTTTTCCATTTTTGTCAGTCTTAAGTCATCATTTTCTAAAGCAAGCTGGCTAGAGGAATACAAAAAGAACAAAACTTGTCATGAGGGCATGTGAGATTGTCACGCCTTAATTAAGCTCCTTCAGTTTGAAGGCTGCACACTGACATGCTGTAGTGAGTGTAGACCGCACACACAAGTGGAATGAGCCCCATTCAGAACTCTCAGACTCTTTAGACACACGAGTAGATTGATCTAAGGCATGCTCCCAGCATTTGTCCACCCACTTAGTCCACACTGCGTCAATTAACCTGCATGCGTCAACGCCCAAGTCCACCCCAATTAACTGAAGCAAATACCAAAGCAGTTGGGAGTACATATGGTAGACAATTTGCCTTAGGAAGTGACTTGAATGTACAAAGATACTTGATGCACTTATTTTTTAATGTGAGACAGCAAGTTTATAAAACATCCGTGTAGGATTATAGATACTCCAGTTGAAGAAGCACGTGTGTGCACATGGGGGGTACTAGAAGTTKATCTGATTGGTCCAACAGTTTGATGCTGAGTCATGCGTGCCGAATACCACGCCAGTGCACCCGTGACCCCTCAGCCAAACAAGTTGCACCTTTCATAGCTTCTTCACTACTGCAAATTCAAGACTGAAAAGGCTTCTATGATCAGAACTGGGAAAACAGTGAATCTTATGGTGGAAGAGGTTCTCAGCAAGTGTACAGTATTTACCTTCCTTTGTCTTACWTTGGCTTTTTTAATTTTCCATTAATTTCAACATGATTATGGGAACAAGTGTACAGAACTTTTTTTTTTTAGCTATGTGAGAACTTTTCATAGATGAACTTTTTAACTAACGTTTTAATTTACAGGAAAATACAAAAGAAAAATTTCAAGCGATAGTCTTTTTTTTTAAGTGTTTCATAAGACAAAAAATCGAATAATTTTTTGAAGTTCTGGCAAGATTGAAGTCTTAAGGTTGCAGTAAAAATATTTATTAAAAACCCCTAACTACCAGGAAGAATGATACCTCCCACCTTTTGATTCCCATAACCTAAAAATTTGAGTATGGGCTATTTGAGAGTGGGAGAGAACAGCATGGTAGGCTAATTTCAGGGCTTTTATGAGTCTATCACCCAGTGGTACCCTACATACTTCTTTCAAGATCTTCAACCATGAGGTAAAAGAGCCAAGTTCAAAAGAACCCTAGCACATGGGATTTTCTTTTTTGGAAAAAAATAAGTAATAGATTGACAACAAATGAATCCCCCACTCCTGTTGTTCATCATGTAGAGTTCAGACATACTGTCCATCGCCGTCATCATTGAACATGAACCTGGGAAGCCAGATCATGATTAAAACTGACGTCCGGTTTCAAGTTGCAGCTCCATGCACCCAGTGTTCGGATGTGGCAAACTTCTCAGTGACAACTGTGCTGTGCTCTGTCATGTCACGTTTCCTGCAGACTCTTAAGATCTACGGAGTAGTGAACAATGACCTCATTTTATTTTCTGTGTTAGTTATTTATTTCAGAATTAACATTTTAGTTTATTTTTGTCTGTTAAGTGTTTGTTTTGCACTGCTAACTAATATGAGGGTTTAAACAATGCTTCTTCAGGGTCCCTCACTGGGGACCCGTGCAGTCTACTTAATGCTGTGAATTACATTTTCCAAATGTTTAATTTTTTTTAAGAAAATTAATATTCTATTTTTGTTAGGCTTCTCTAGGAATACAGTTTTTATTTATTGCCCTATTTCTTTTTTAAGTTTTTAAAAATAACACACTAAGGGTACAAAAACGTCACACCTGATAGAAGAGTCATTGTGACCAAAATGGGTTTCATTGAGCATCAACTCATCTACCTAAAACTTCTTTTATGAGAAGCCCATAAAATTACTCAAGTTTATTATTTAATGGTTAGTTATTGAGTTGGTTCACATAATGCCTAGGAAGAGAAACATTTCCTAGCCTTCTTGCCAAATCCAGACCTCTGGTTGATTTTTCTTTGATAGAAGATGGAGTTACTTTCCCATTTTCCAAATTAAAGTTACTCAAGTTGTATATTATTTTGCTTTTAAAAAAAGTGCAAACACTTTTGGAAAATTATAGCCAGTCTTCAGTTATAACCTCTCTACCCACTCCTTGCCCCCAACCCCCTACCCCTCTATGGAATTTAATGAGAAAAATATAAAAAACTGTCRTTGGTCAGCTGGCTCTTTTTCCTATGAAATCTATCAGTACTGTCCTCCATTCGTTGTTCTCTATGATGGCCACAGAGCCTGAGTATACCAGGAAAACCAATATTTGCATTACAGGTTGCTCTTGTCCTTCTAGACATCTTTCCTACCTGTGTGACTAACCTAATTTTGCTAGTTCCATAAATACACAATTAGTTTAGTAACAGCCATCAGAAAGTACCATGTACCTTCATGGTGAGAGCTAAAACTCGACACAGACTTCTAGGAGCTTTGTTCATACCGATTACTTAATCCAATTGTATAGATTTGAATATTTGAGTGGAAGGAATTTCCATTCTGTTTAAATGATGGGATTCTATTGCGATAGCACTCATGATCATGACCTTTTTGGTAGTATTCTTAAACAAAATTCTACAGAGACTAAATGTTAGAGACGATCCTCCATTTTCAATTTTAACCAATTCTATCCCCTTTCTCAAAACCCCAACCCCTGTGCATGCTTTCTCAGTCTTGTGGTGGGACTGGATACAATGACTGACCCCTCCCTCTTTAAACACCATTTTTCCATGGAGTTCAAAAGGAAAAAAAATTTTTTTTCTTAACGTTACATATCATAGTGAATGGTTTCCCCAGTGTATATGGATGTTTTAAGTGTCTCCAATAGCTTATGAAGTTTAGGAGCTTTCCAATATTCATTTAATAAGATTTAATCATTTGCTAATGGAAATTTTTCCACCTTCCATTTTTCCCTCTGTTACCAAATTTCAGCTCCGAGGAGCTGCTCTACAATTCTGGAATTGCTTTTCTTGCCTCTCTTTAGTCATCTGTCACAGGAGGTTTCTGCTCAGTAACGATATTGTGCGTTAGGAGAACTTTTTATTTTTATTTTTTCGTGCTTCAGATGTAGGAGAAAAGATCCTGTTTCCATTTGAAAGGAACTGTTAAGCTTTTTATCTTTTGACCAACTGAACAACACACCAAAAGCAGCCTAGAGATGAGCATTTCTTTGAAAGCAATTAGGTTATTCACCTGGTATTAAAACTATCTACTATTWAAAAAAAAAATCTGTGACTTTTACGAAGTTCATTTTAAAAGGCAGCATCAAAAACTGAAAAAGGAAGGGAAGAAAAAGTCAACAGCTTCTCTGCACTTGTTTGGAGCTCCCCAAAGCGGGAGCCACAGAGAAGAGGCTCGGACCGGGCTGCCCCTTGGAGAACACCCCGCAGCCAGCAGTTGGGAGTCACGCTTTCCACGCTGCACGCAGCCCCTTCACTTTTCCAGCCCCTGCAAGGAGTGGTCCTGAGCTGGGCTGAGAAGCACTTCACACTCCTCTCTCTTGTTCTGAATGGTGTTTGTGTCAGTCTGCAGCTGTGTATGGCATTATGTCTTATAATCCTGCATCACTTCTATCCTATCCAGTCATATCTAATGTAGAAAATTAGTTTCCAGTGAAAGTAATATGTAGTGCTTTTATGATATTTGTGTGCAATATCCCCTCTTCCATTGAGGATATTTGATGTAAAGGAAAAAAAAAAACTCAGTTCCACAATAAAATACAAAAGTGGCAAAAGTTCATGCATTCCCTGTGYTGTTTTTGGCTTTGTGTCCTGAGTTGGGCTCTGCCATCCATGACGGGGGTGACCACATTCTTTTCAGACTGCTTTTTTGTGGCTACTCATTGATTGATGTGTGCAGCCAAGCCCTCAAGAAGGTTAGAGTCTTAAGGACAGAAACTGGGAGTTGAGGGAGAAGAATAATAAAAACAGTGGCCTAAAAAGAAAGTAGTTGAAGGAGAATTTTAGCTGGGCTTCCTGCACAAACCACAAAKAAACGAGAAAGCAGATTTGAATGCCGGCTCTGCCATATCCAGCTGGGTGACCTGTCATTTAATCTTTCTGGAGTTTTCTTCTCTGTAAAGTGAGAGAGCTCAACTAAAGGGTCAGATGGGCTGGTCCCTCCTGAGATGTGTTCTGTAAGCTGTCATGATTATTATAGCTGAATAAGCTATATCTAACTAACATAGTGTGCTGTATATTTCACTCACACTCATCAATGTGAAAAATGATTATATAAACCATTTGAATGCCAGAGAGGAAATCCTACTTGTTTAAGTATTTTGAATACATCTGTATTCCCAAAACACTTACACAAGTAGGATTTCCTATATGCCATTTAAATGGTTTTCCTGCCTTTACTCTGTACCCAGTGGCGGGTTCTACTTGGCTTGTGGAATTTAAAGAGGAACAAAACAACTTCTGTCCTAGCTGGTTTAGGAAGACAGACCAGCAGAGAGGCAATGATGCTACATTGTGACAAGGGCTCCTAAAATGGAAGAGTGAGCTTAGATGACCATAAGAGAAACCAGYGGCAATGTGTATGCTGAGCCCTGGAAAGAAGGAAAGAAGGAAAGAAAGCAAATTCCGGGCAGAGGACACACCACGGCTCAGCAGAGAGCGCGATCAGCATCTGTTGGGGCAGAGACTGCACAGGATGGCAGCGCATAGTGGGGAGCCCAAGCCCCCCGGGGGGGTGTGCCTATGGGGTGTTCAGTGGAGACCTCCAGTACCTGGCCATGTCTGTCTTCAGAGATGGTCTTTGACCTCACAAGGCCCCTGCAGTCTGTCCCGAGTCACTATGATGTCCCTTTGTCATATACACTACTTCTCATCTTGCGCTTTGCCTCTGAACCACTCGGACGGCATTGAGTGGTCTCAGCAGAACTCACTATTTGCTAAGAGGGACTCTGAAACTCTCCTGCTTTAGTCAGCTTTTTTGCTGYTGTGACTAGAAGACCTGACCCAAACAATTGTAGAGGAGGAAAAGTTTCTTCAAGGGCTCACAGTTTCAGAGGTCTCAAATCTAWAGACAGCTGACTTTATTCCTCAGGGCTCCAGGTGAGGCAGGACATCATGGCAGGAGAGTGTGACAGAGGGAAGCTGCTCACGTGGTGATCAGAAAGCAGAGAGGAAAGAGAGATCCATTCTCCAGATAAAAATATACACCCCCATAACCCTGCCACCAATGAACCACTTCCTCCAGCCACACCCCACCTGCCTCCAGTCACCATTCAGTTAATCCCATCAGGGATTAATCCACTCATTTTCCTCCAAACCTTCTTGCATTGTCTCACATTTGAGCTTTTGGGAAATATCACATCTAAACCATAACACCTCCAGAAATGAAAGGGTTAGGATGTGAGAACTGGGGTGGGAAATAAGAGATTTTAGTTACCTCTCTCGGGCTAAAGTTGGATAGTTAAATTGTTTTCTGTTCCATTGCCCAATTCCAGGTTTTTCTTCTGGCATGAACCCAAGGTGACCAACCATCATGGTTTGCCTTGGATGCCTGATTGTGCCTCAGGATACTCAGGCCCAGGGAACCCCTGAGGCCTGGTCACCCTACCCACTCCTGTCCTATTTAAATCTGGAAAAGAGTGAACCCTCTTCCAGCTTCTCTTCCATATTGTGGAAGTAGATTTTTTTTCCAGTTTCATTTTTCCTGTCTTCCAAACCATAAAGGTCTGTTGAGGACCTGTGACCATACTTTCTCTCTCTACTTCTGTCACTCATTCTGGATGCTCTTCTGTGTCTTACAATTTTTCAATTTTTTTTTTTTTTTTTTGGTACCTCAGGCACTCGACCACTGAGCCCCATCCCCAGCCCTGTTTTGTATTTTATTTAGAGACAGGGTCTCACTGAGTTGCTCAGTGCGTCACCATTACTGAGGCTGGTTTAAATTTGAAATCCTCCTGCCTCAGCCTCCCAGGCCGCTGGGATTACAGGCATGTGCCACTGTGCCCAGCCCTACAATGATCTTTTAACATAGTTTGACGCACAAACTCTTGGCATCTCACATAAATACAATCACCATTTCCTCTTTTATCTAATATCATATGTAAATTCACTGGAAGCTCATCTGCAGCTTGGCCACACMCAGTTCTGGTCACACACAGTTCTTTTGCTGTGAGATGTTCTCCTGCTTYACTGTGGGGGTTGTTGGTGGTGTTTTACAGACAGTGGAGCTGCGCCTGATTCTCAGGGAGAGCTTCAGGTCATAGTCCAGACCATATMCGCTCAAGCCAGAAATGCAAGCTACTCTAATGCTCACAGAGGTTTAAATGTCATGTGTAAACTGATGACTTTCACAGTTGTGCCTGCAGCCTGTACCTCTTCTCTGATCTCCAGACTCAAATCCAGCTGCCTGTTGAGATCTTCACTTTGATGTCCAAAAGGGAATGTTTCAAAAATACCCCAAATCAGCTGGATGCGGTGGTACATGCCCATAATCCCAGCTCCCAGGGAGGCTAAGACTGGAGGATCACAAGTTCAAGGCCAGTCTCAGCAATTTAGGGAGGCCCTRTCTCAAAAAAGACTGGGAATGAAGTTCAATCGCCCCCCCTCAAAAAAAGCCCCCAAATAAACCTTTGATATCTCTCCCCACACTGCCAGACTGCTTCTTCCCCTAGGATTTTCTACCTCTGTAAATGGCAAATGCATAATTCTAGTTTCTTAGGTCACAAATATCAGCCCTGTCAGAAAATCCTGCTGACTTGACCTTTAAAATACAGTCACAAGCCAGGCACAGTGGCTCAGGGCTGTTATCCCAGCAGTTTGGGAGACTGAGGCAGGAGGATTACAGGGTTCAGGGAGACTGAGGCAGGAGGATTACAGGGTTCAAAGTCAGCCCCAGCAATGGTGAGGCACTAAGCAACTCAGTGAGACCCTGTCTCTAAATAAAATACAAAATAGGGCTGGGATGTGGCTCAGTGGTCGTGTGCCCCTCAATCCCCGGTACCCACCCCCTAAAAAAAATAAACAAAATTCAGTTGCACACTGCACAACGACACTGTGGTGAACAATGGATCACACAATGGTGGCATATACCATACAGGCTAGGTGTGTAGTAGACTGCACCTGCTATAGCTTGGGTAAGCACCCTCTGATGTTCACAAAATCACCCACAGTGCATTTTTCAGAATTCGACCCTGTTGTTTAGTGACGCACAACTGCACGTCCAGTCCGACTCCTCCCCTCGTTCACTGCTACCTCCTCTCAAAGTCATTTCTCTCCTGGATTAGCACCATGGCCACCTAACAGCTCCTCCTCTTGCTCATCTTTTCTCTTCTAGCTTATTCTCCATGTAGCAGCCAGAACAATCTTTCAGAAATATTCTTTCATTCCAGGGGCTTTGATGCTGTTTCCTTTGTCTGACATGCTTTTTCCCCAGTGGGTCATTTTTCAGGTGTCATCTTCTCGGGATGCCTCCGCTCATCATCCTAAATTGCATCCGCCATCACTTGTCATCACAGCCCTCTCTTGTCCCCTTCCTTGCTTTGTCTCCATGTCATTATCCCCATAAGACATGATACACTTATTAATTATATCTACCTCCTGCCATCGAATGCAAATGCCAAAGGAAGAGATCCGGATCTGTATTTTTCCTTGCTGTATCATCAGTAACTATTTTCACAGTTCCTGACACATAGTAGGTGTTCGATATTTGTTGAATAAACGAAAGAATGAATATACTAAGACTCAAGTTGATAGAGTGACTGTACCATGTGGTAGTTGGAAAGTTGGTTTAGAACCAGACAAACTTCAGTTCAAATACTGTTCTTGTCACCTTCTAATTGGATAGCCCTGGAAAAGTGACATTATGTCTCCTCTGGAAAATGTGGATCATAATCCTTGCCCTGCAGGGTTGTGGTAAGGATTAGAGAAAATTCATTCAATCAGGTTGGATAATGGGCATTTAACAAGAAGGAGTTCACATGATTTTTGTAATCAAGGTAGGGACATAATTTCTGTTGAACCAGAGCCTAGGAAACACCCACCCCCAACAGTGGCCCAGCATACTATCACCAGAGGACATTCTTGGTCTATCTCACATACTATCACAGGCATAATAACTTTTTTTTTTTTTTTTTTTTGGTACCAGGGATTGAACCTAGGGACGCTTAACTATTGAGCCACAAACCCAGCCCTTTTTATGTTTTATTTTGAGATGGAGTCTTGATAAGTTGCTTAGGGCCTTACTAAGTTTGAGGCTGGCCTCCAACTTTCAATCTTCCTGCCTCAGCCTCCTGAGTTGCTGGATTTATAGCTGTGAGTCGCCAGATTTATAGACATGAGTCACTGCACCTGGCCCCAGAGTTCCAAATTCTAATCTTTAAAACACTGTTAGAAGTTAATATGCTCCAGGTGCAGAGGTGAATACCTTTAATTCCAGCAACTCAGGAGGTTGAGGTAGGAGGATTGCAAGTTTCCTGACATAATTATTTATAGCCTTGGGAACCGGCAAAGATCTAAGGAATTTAGTGAGAAGACCTAGTCTCAAAATAAAAAATAAAAAGAAGTGGGGATGTGCTTCCATAGTTAAGTGACCCTGGGTCCAATCTCAGTGTGAAAAACACAACAAGAACAACAACAAAAAATATTATAACTCAACAATTTTCCTGCCACTGGGTATATCAGAGGATATCATGTCCCCTTTTATAGATCCTTTACAAATCTTCCCCATGAACTTAGATTCAGCACTTAAATTCCACAATGGAATTTGTTTTCAAATGATTTT